TACTAGTGTGTGTGATCTAAGATTTCCCAAGCTTTTTAAACAGAACTCCTTATTTGGCTTTTTCTCTAAAACAATGTTATTAAATTAGCTTTTTATATGAATTATATAGTTGTATTCCTGTTTGTGTATTATTTATTATATCACTTAACAAAAGACAAGATAGAAATAATTGTATGAAAATGTCTTAAAGTACATATTTCCAATATCCAAGCATGACATCACAGAAGTAAGATTGTATTGTTGTCTGATCTCACTTTTGTGATCCATTTCTCCTACAGCATGACACACCACTGTAACACAACAGTTTCCTTTAGTACTATACAACACCAGCTTCATTGGATGCTTTTGTGTTCATCCCAGCATTGAAACCAGCATCACTGCCAGGCTTAACTGCACTAGTGTGTGTAGTGTTTGTTTCCATGCATATACTGTACACATGGGGTACCTTCTGTAATGTATTTTCAGACTCACTTCTGGAAGGAACTCTAATATCTGTTTGTTGATCACAAACACACAACAAGTTAGTCTGTAAATTGTGTAATGATGAATTCCATGTTATATGTTTTCATGTGTTATGTTAATGCTTTATATTTTTGTACTTAACTGTGATATCTAAGTTAATGATATTATTGATATGATATTAACTACAGTAACGTGATGGTTTCCAAATTGAACCTAGTCTTTCTTGCAATGTAAGTGTAATTCAAATTATTTATAAAAAACAAATAATACTATCACAGACCTTCCTTGTTATGGAAATAGCTGCCCTTTCATATCAGTGTTTTCATATTTTGTATTTTGTAAGAAGTTTGTATTTAGGCTTTCATTAGGATAGTTACAAATGAGAGGGAGGTATTTGAATCTTGCCTGTTTGGTAGTTAGACGTTTATCGGTCAAAATCTCATTCAGCCATTTAAAAATACCTGACTGTTGTGTTTAACAACATGGTTGGTAGCTTGATCCATCCTCCCACAACCCTAAAAAAGGTCAAGTTTTTCTCGATTTCAAATGTATTTCCATATTAAGTGAATACCACATACAGTACCTCTTGTGTCCTCTAGTTGGTGATTCATTGTTCATTCTGAAGAAGTCCACTTTATTTGTCAATACATTTATGGATTTTGAATACTTGCCTCATAGTCTTCTTTATTCGGTATTTAAAAAGTTGTGTTTTGTCAGCCTGACAGTGTAGGACTTTCCCTTTAGCCTAATATTGTAACTTGTTAATTTTCTATGGACAGATTGTAGAGAAACATTTTTTCCTATGACGTGACCAAATTCTTCCTGATATTCCAAATGAGTCCTCACTAGGCCTTTGTTATGATGCTTTCTCTTTCATTTTTGTTAGGTTTTCTTAAATGTTTTTTGGTGTATTTTACATTGAAAGTAATGAACATCTGAAGCATGTCACTGCTTGATACTTAAAACTGTACCCTAGATTTATTATTGAAATTATCTTTTTCTCACCACACTTTCCTTTTATTTTAATGGCTATGTTAGCATTTTGGTTTAAAATACAGAAGTATTAAGTTAAAGTAACAAGTAATGTGTGTTTTTGTCCCCTGACATTTTGCCAAAAATTTGAATATGAATTTGGAACAACAATTAATGACCAAGTGTCTTGACACTGGGCTTTGATTAAAGAATGAACAACTCTTCGCTGAAATACATTCCATTCCTCTCATCGTCTTGTTGATGAAAGAAGGCTGGCAATTTTTAAATCATGGTGGCATTTTTTATTTTTAAAATTCATACTTTATGGAATAAATGATTACTTCTATGACCATGTGGGTTTTGTACTGTAATTTTATCCTTAATCATTTTTGGCTTTTATAATTATATTGGAAAGATATGTGTATGCCCTTATACCCCCACTCTTCCATACAGGAGCATATCTATACATCTCTATGAAAGATATAGAGACGGAGGACATTGCTTTAGACCTTTGATCCTGGCAGTTAGATATATTTTTGTTTAATTTCTTAATCTAGTCTTCTAATGTTGTATTACAAAATCCATTTATCATTTGTATTATGAGCTGCCTTACAGGTCAGAAAAGCCTGTTCCAGGGGGATAGTAAACAAAAGATCCCCTAACATTTCACGATGTACAGATTGACATGGCAATAAGCTGGATAAATAAAAAGACTAGATAATTGTCTAACCTAGGAAATACTGGACTGGATACCAAGAGAGAAAAGTGGCCATGTAGAATACTTATACGATAGCCATTAACACCTTTACATTGACTTGATGAATGAAAATTACAGCTTTGCCAGATTAAGGTGGATAATCATGGTAGACGAAGATAGATGTTCTAGAAATAATTTTTTGGAGGATCATCATTCGAAAGTAGTTATTATAAAAATGTGTTGTGTAGATATAATGATCGGCTGAGATGAGCATTAGGATTACACCTGTATTTTCCACTTTGAATGCCTTCTTAGAATTCTTCAAACAAGTCACAAGATGCCACAGGAAACTCTTTATAACCTGTAACTCTTTATAACCTTTAACTTAATACTTCTGTATTTTAAACCAAAATGCTAACATAGCCATTAAAATAAAAGGAAAGTGTGGTGAGAAAAAGATAATTTCAAGAATAAATCTAGTGTACAGGTCAATAATTAATTACCTCTACTTACCATTAATTAATGTTTATTAAAACTAGTCAGATTGTTTGCAAACAATTATTGTGTTAGTACATATTTGAATATGAATGACTTTTGTGTCTGTGTGGTATGATTTGTAGCACCTAGGCTATTGTACCACCCAGAGTACTGCTGTCACAGGTGAAGGCATTACATTATTAATGCAAACTTTCTTGCACAATAAATATATATGGGAAAAAAAACTCTTGGGACTGTAAAATAGATTAAATTATTACCAACTACTTAGCAACTAAGCCTTCAATTTTAATGTTGTTTTTTAACTTCTTGCAGGTTATATTGCTACAGTATAAAGTATATTGTATGAAAAGAGTACACAGACTAGGCTCCAATGACAGTGACGATGAACATATGTGCGGATACATGCACTTCTGAGGTGCTGTCGAGCTGAACTGTTGTATATTATATTCCAGTGGACATCCTGAGTTAGTGATCACCGTAATACCCTTGAGCATCCTTCACTCATCTTGTATAAATTTCCAGTCTCGCATACATCAAACTACTCGGCAGGCTGTACTTGAAATGATCTTTGTGAACATCCCACTCAATCTCTTTTTGGATCGTTGGCTATTTGATTTTTCTCAATTGTGGATTAATTGCTGTGAAATATGAATGGGGATCCAGCAGTATTGTTTATCAATATCAGTGTCTGATGCTTTGTGTTAAGGAGTTTAACATTATAATCCATCATTGTTGGTTCATATTGCAGTCTTAAACATTTTTAGTTAATAAGCTCATAATTTAATGTTTTCCTTTTGCCTGCACTCAGAACTCAACAAATCTCTGACACACCATGCTGTAGAAATCTGTCATTCTTGCTGGATTTGTTAGTGGCTTTTCTTATCATAGAAGGGCAAACTGCATTTAGATGGGCTGCCCAGGACAGTTTTCCTTAAATGCATGGTAGTGTCCTGCTTCCACAGGGAGGTTAATAAAGTCCATTTTAACAGCTGGTTGGAACCAATATAAAATGAGATAGCTGACTTTCCCAAGGTTACACACTCAGTGAAGATGAAGTGTTTTTTTTAATTTGATTTATCCAGTCTTTTACGGCCTTATTAATGTTCATAATATGTGTCATTGGTACAGCATAAACAGGTCAGCCTGCATTTAAAAAGCATGTATTAGTAAAATAGGCATCTTATACTTTTATTAAAGCATCTCACACATTTGTGTTCAATAATTTAAAAGCAAAAGATGAGTGTGCTGTTAATTGTTAGAATATTTTAAAAGCAACAGACATGTAGTACATGTGAACATAGAATCCTTAATGTTGGTTGTGAAATCGTGTTAACTGGAAAACAAAATAGCAAATAATGTAAAATGGATGGATTCTTGTAAATATTCAGATCTTGTGTTATCAAATTTATTCTTTACTTTAAACATTGTGAACACTGCACCATATTTCAAGGTTTTGTGCCAAGAAGAAACTGTTGGTATCTCCAGTACTTCTAAATTTTGAAGTCTTCATACAAATAATTGTGTGTTCTAGAAATAACAGCTTTACCCTGCCTTAAAATGTGAGGATTTGTTGTATTGCTTCTCCTCAGAGTCTACCTAGCTACCTGTACTGTACGTAATGAAAGTCATGCAGCCAGCTTTCATCATTATCTTGTGCCAGATGTGCGCTATACAGCCCTCAGCCTTGTTTTCCACTGTGTTGTTCTTCATACTTTTGCAGATGCATGTTTTAGGGTTTGTCGTTACTGGCTCAATTTGTTTTCTTCTTCTGGCTTAAAGTAAATGTTTCTTTCTCCAAATCTGTGGGGAAACAAAGCCATCGCTCAGCAAAAAAATGTAAAGATGGAGACTATTAGAAAACAGATTAATGTGATCTCAGAAAAGTAGACCTTTGGTACAATTGGCAATATCAAAATAAGTAGAAAATTCTGGAACATGTTAATGTAAGACAATTATTCAAAGTAAATACTCCTCATGAAAGTTCTAAAGAAAGAAAAATATTATGTTGTAACATTTGTTGTGGCATTTATATGACAATACAAATGATTACACCCATGCATGAGAACTAACAGTGATCAACACTGTCAACAAGGAAACTGATGTTCAAATTAAACATTAATTGATATTATCAATTAATATCACTTATTGATATTGTATCTCTCAAAAGTATTAAACCAGCTATATTTTATAAATGAAAATACTGCAAGTACATGGAAAAAATTAGAACCTTAAGACTGTTGTGTTTAAGATTCTTTATGTATTAATATAGCTGATTACATTTTAGAAAATAGTATAATAATCATCTCTGTTGGATTGAATGACTCAAAGCTGAAAATGGTGAACATAATTTTTCTCTGTTTAATTTTCCAAGGACAACTATACCTTTGCCCAGCCTGGAATTCAGAGGAAAGTGAAAGCTTTGGAAGAACTTGTTAGCCGGATCGATGGTGAGTCTTAAAAGTCAATTCTTACTCTAAGTGGAACTGAAGAACTTTGTGTCGAGAGTGTTTAGTAAAAACCTTTGCAAGTAATCTAGCCAATATCAGCACAACCAACCACCATGACAGGCTAGTACGGCCTTTCTCAGATGATGTGTCATCCTCAATCAACTCTGCAGTGTTGTGGCCTTTGCAAGTTCACTGTTGTGTATCATTTAAAGGAAACCTACTAGAGCATGAGCCACTTTCATTACTTTTTATTAAGGCAATATAATCAAAATTCAATGGCAATTTCTTTGCTGCAGAGTAATGGCCAAGCACAAGAGGCAGCCAGCATTCAGTTTGCATTAAACACAATGATTGTTTTAATTCTTAGGGAAGTCACAATGGTTGTTTATGGGGGGGGGGGGGTTTCAGGATCATACAGCTATGAAAATAGTTACATGTCATGATTTCAGTGTTCAGTTGAATTAATTACTGCCTTCAATTATAGTATCTTTCATATGGATGATAAACAGTGAAAATTGAACAACTGGTTTAAGATTAAGATTTCACACATGTACAAAAGGATTTGTGTGGACATTTTTACAATTTATCCTGAAAACATTTCTTCCATGAAATGCAGACGGTGATTTGCATTTCATGGTTTACTAAAATTAAATTTAAGAGCCATCTTAAACCTTTCTACACAGATTATAGTGATGTTTATGAAAAATTAACTGATCATTAACTAAGCATCAATTCATGAATGAACATCAAAGGCCTTTATTAAAATAATAGAAATTAAATGTACCTGCATACACGGCCATGTAAGTAAACTAAAGTAATTGTACCGGGATAAAAGTCATAAACATCTTAAGACTTTCCTAAAGAAAAAATAATACATGTATTAAAGGGGAACTGCAACATCATTTTAAATTTTTAGGTTAGAAAGAATCAGCATTGATGAGTATATTTCAAACCCCAATAAATGTAAAACATACACAGTAATTTGTTAAACCTCCAATTTACAACAAATAAACAAAACAAAATTTGCAGGTATGAGTAGCGCCATATTCTGCAATTCAGAACGAGGCAATAAAACGTCCAGTGAGGTGTTGTGGCCCTATGACATTGTGAAGAATCAGGCTTGTGAAAACATGTTTTGCCAACAAATATTCCTTGTTAAGTGTGCATGCAGATCATGTTGGAAACGTTCTGCGGAGAAATGCTTATTGCACAACCTGTCCTTATTCACTCTTACATCGCATTACAATCATTCCAGTGAGCTGCTTCACTTGCCCATGACAAATCCAGGAGTTTGCAACAACATGATGACTTACAGTACTTTTACAAAGTTCAAGATTTTGGTAATTTTATTTTCAATTACGTCAATTAATTTGTTTTGTTACAGATTTATTTATTAAACGGTCTGAGAAATTGGGACTGCAGTTCCCCTTTAAAGAGATAGTAAAGTCTTTATATCAAATACATTACAGTGACATCAATTATTGTTGGCTGAATTCTGGTATATAGAGTCACTCATGTTAAATAAATTCACCTTTGAATGTGAGAAAATGCTAAAAGGTAGGGACTGTTTTTTTTTTTAATTCAACTAATCACAGACATTTCTGTGTAACTACTGTATGATGGCCCTGATATGAGTGGGGCCGAGCTTGAATGATAACAACATACAGTTGAGTGCTATGTTCTAGTGTTGTAATTGACTTGTAATTTTTTTTAGTGAATACAGTTCCTATAAGGTTCTTGTGCAATAAGCAGTAATACAATGGAATGATAAGACTCACTTTATTTTAATACCAATAGAAAAATCTAAAACATTAGAGGTAGTTTTAAAAAATGCCTCAGCATGCATCATTTAAATGCAACAATGAACACATCAGTTTATTTATATATATGCATATATAATGGGGAATGTGCTTATATTTTTCATTATCTACTTTAATATGGTTGTTTTTTCTGTTTCATCCCTATTAGTCCTCTTACCAAAATTCAATATACTTTGTCTTGCCATGCAACTGTTAGGATGAATTAAAAATGTCTGCAGTAAAAGAGCTGATCCTGAGGCTTTTGTTTAATTTCTTTGGTAGATAGTAGTAGTTTAATATTGCTGGATACTTTAAGCAGTAACACTTGGGGAGAATGCAGAAGTATATTTTGGTTTTCTTTATTTCTCAGTGTAGTACTGTAGAATTCATGAGCTGACTGATTTTCGGTCAGAAAGCGTACATTGTCAATCCAGCCAGCTCTATGAAACTGATATAAAGAAAATGGTAATCAGCATATCAGATGTTTGCTAATTGTAAAGTATTCCTCACTGATGAATGATATAGTTATTATGCACATGATCAGTTTATAGATAAGTTGAAACTATAAGAGACTGACATATAATATCATAAGTACACAATGTTAAAAGTAGTGATGGATCATTTGCATATTAATGCAAAAGATAAGTTATGTTAATAAAAAACACCAAAATGTGGTCCTGATCAATTTCTGTATCTAAGAAAAAGTATAATTTCTTCTTGTTCTTGGACAAAATGGCACTGATGGGATAATTATATAATTATTCTGTAGATCTGTTTCTGGATTAGGTAGTTCAGTTAAAACTCAAGTTTTATTGCAAATTTATTTGCAGTAGGAAAGAAGCGTCTTAAGTTATGTGAATCTTTCCCTCCAGGTTTCCTAGCAGCTTATATGTTTTCTGTCACTTGCTGAGCATTCAGCATTCTCATGCTTTAAGTACAGTACAATAGTCACAGCTGGGGTTTCCAACCAGACAACAAATGTAAAAATGTTCTAGTAAGACTTCTGGATCATTAACTAACCAAGTGAGCATTTTACTTGTTCAGTATCAGCATGGGATACCTTTGGAGGCCACTTAGGTGCTTGAAGGGAATGGAAACAAACCTGAATACTCAGTAAACAAAATGCATTTTGTTTTGTTCTTGCCTACATTTTTCTCAAGAGTCAAATGTTTCATTTTTCTCTGTGAAAACTTGTGCAAAATGCTCTGGTTCTAGTGAATGGCTGAAATCCTGTGTAGTAAAAAAAAGCCTACAGATGTTCAACATTTGGCTGTTTTCATGCCTGACTAAATCTTCATTTATCAGCTAATTGAAGCAGATCTGGCAATTATGTTAGTGTTTCAGTTGCCTTGTAGTAGAAGCTAAAGCTTGTACCATGGTCTTGCAATACATTACAGATTTATTTGCAAGTAACAGAAAAACATTTAATCCAGATTTTAACAGTTTACGTCTACCAGATAGGTCAGAATAAGTTCAAATAAAATAGGTCACATTTCAATTAGGGGATTTATATTTATGTGTGGGACAGTGCAAAGAAATATGATCATATCTCTCTGATAACTCTCACCTTTATTTAATAAATTTAAAATGTGTTTTGTCATTATTTAGTTTTAATTGTGCTATGGGTCTTTAGTAATTCAGTAGGTAAAAATGTGTCTCAGAAATGCATCTATTATTTAAGTGACATGAATTAATTATTAACCACATTAATGTGGATGTTTTTTATTATAAAGAAGACTGCAGTATTATGTACTGAATATATATTTGTGAAAAAAATGCTGCCAAGTACCATTCTTGCATAAAGGGGATTCTTCCCCTTCAGTTTATTTGCTTTTCTTGCTAAGAAGTTGTTTCTTTCTGATTTTCCTTTATGCTTCATTGTGTCATATCCTGATTGTGCTCTGCAGCCTCTTCTAAAACTAACAGATGGGAATAGCTCTGGCTTTAAGGGGAACATACTGTATGCCGTCTCCAGAGAGTTAATGGAGCAAGGTTGAAATATTTTTATCCCTGCAGCTAGTTCTATGGGCTGCGAAGGAAATGTCTTGGTGGTTTCCCTTTTTATCTTTGTTAAATGTTCCCTTTGAAACTTTCACTTGCAAAATAGAGTTTGTTGAATAGTAGTTATTTTTAAACCACTCAGCAGTATAGTTTATTACCTTTGAGACTTCATCTGTGCAATGGATTACTTTACTATTATATTTATATCCTCTTTTTAGGACTAGAATATTGTGCAAAGACAGATTTAATCCAATAGTATTTACATTTAGTTTAATACTTTTTACATCTGTGTAAATACTGTGTGATTAAAGAAGTATTGAAGTTTTGAACAGTGTTTTTGGTTTTCCAAACTAGCATTCCACTGTGATTTTTTTAAAACCTTTTTATCCTTCAGTATAACAGATAGTATATCACTGAAGAAATTCATTTATTTTGCGTAACCGGAGTTGCACTCTTTGCATTTTTTTTTCTTTGATGGACTTCTCTGATCTTTACAATATGGTGCTTTTCCTGTCAGAAGATGTGAACGACCTTGTTTTTCAAGTGGGGTCCCAGGACTCCAGTGTAACACGACAGTATTACCCTGGAGGTAGCTACAAATTATAACATATGTCAGGCAAAGTGAGTGAAACATTGTAAGAAATTGTTTGCCCTTCCAAAATTCATGTTTTTGGAGATAAAAATTTTACCCCTGGGACCTTTGCTTACAAATTACAAACAAAATGGAGTAAGATCAAGTGCGTACAGTAAGTGTAAACCTGGTACATTGTAGCTAGCTAAAGTTGATGATTAGATAAATGCTAGTTTTGTCTCTTGTGATATATATGTTATTTGACAAAAATGTCATTTTTCCTCTTTACATTTATAAGAAATATGTCCTTGTACACTTGGCTTGAACAACTAGATTAGGGAGAACAGGTAGCTAAGTCAAAAATGTAATTGTTTCCTGCACTCATTTCTGTGCATATTTGCCTGGATACTGTACGTGAATGCATCGAAGTTCATTCCTGAATGTTGCTTGCTTGTACCATTATAAACATCTGGGTACTTCTGTCACTTCTCTTTTGAATGGTTAACTCACCTTGGATAGAGGTTTACAGTAGCAGATAGAAGTCTTGGCCTTTAACACGCTAATATCACCCAGAGCCATCTCACTGTTTGACAAATAACTATCAGACTAAAGTGAGTTTCAATCAGGAT